ACATTCACATGGTACCCCTCCAAGCTAGCTCTAAGAGTTAGGACAAATAACTTGCCTTCTGCAAATGGGAATGCCCAATCAACATCCATCCTCTTCGGCGTTCGGCCTATTAACCGGTTTAACCACCATGTTATCTTTGATTCATCAGAACCATTCTCATCATCTCTAATCCACTTTTCACATTTAACCAAACCATCCACTGGAGAAGTTTAAAGAATTATCCATCGTTAGTGCACAAGAAAAAAGTACAGAATATACAAGAGCCAAGAGGACCATATTCAAACAACTACATATCAGTGCTTAAGATCAATATTATATCAAAGAATTATAGTTATTCCGCTAGAAGGGCATATTATAGATGACATGAACAAGATGCACTTTCTCCATAAGTTTCTTCCAGCATCATCCGATTGCTTAAAAGTGGGAAATGATAAATCATTTTAAGAATTCTAGCCATTAAAATTGTATGCTATTTCACTCTTTTTTTCTTTCAACAAGAACCATCTATTCTCCTCTATGAAAATCATCTTTCACCATGATAACGTGAATCTAAAAGAATAATTTCTACATATACCTAACGTTAAATAAACTGAAAAACACTGTGCAATCGAACTGTATAAACCCATAGGCAAATAAGTCAAGTGAGCTAAATTACTACAGTCACTTTTCACCATTTTTCTTTGATTAATCAGATTACTTATAATTATTATTTCTAATTTCTTCCCAAGATACCCATTTTTCAACCTAGCAGATTCAATTTAACAAAAATAACATTCCAATGAAAGGAAAATAAATTCATATCAACTTATGAAACCAAGCAACTCATATAATCAAAAAAGCATTTCTAATTACTCACCAGTCTCCTCATCGGCCCGTGACTTCCTCCCATCACACCGCTGAGCAGTGCCCCACTGCATCCTGTAACAACTGTTTTGCTCAATTACAGGCTTCCCACTCCAATCTCCCTTCACCCGAGGATTAAAATGCAGGATCCTTGGAGGGTCCTCTCCATCCACTATCCTCAACCCCTGCAACTCCATCATAAACTGTGAAACCATCAAGTACTGTCCCTTCTTCAACAGCGAAATCTTTGGATCAGTCTCTGCGTGGGCTACCCTCGGCTTCCCCACCACCGTTATATGTGACCCCAATGTTAGACCACATGGCAACACCATCACTTTCCCCTTTGTCTCAAACACATCCCCCCTTATAACTAACGATTGTGGGCACTCCTTGTTTTCTCTTTTATTCACATCAGAAGTAACACTCCCATTATTATTTTTCCATATCTTTTTGTCACCCATCTTTTCGAGTTCAAGGTCCTGCCAGACCTTACCGCCAATCTCAAGGGCCTCTTTCGCTGACTCTAATATCCCATTTTCCGGGATTGAATTCACAATGCCAGCACTGAAATTCAAACTTGACAACGGTACTCTAACAAACTCTTGGATTTTCCTCTCGTGTTTCGAATGGTTAGAAACCTTAAAAGGTACATCATGAGGTCGTATAGGGGCCTCTTTTACCTCCAAATTTTCCTCACTTTCCAGCACAAAAGGCTTGTAATTCAAAAACTCATTATTACTATTCAAAATCCCCTCTTGCGAAACTGAACCAAACCCATTTTTTACCACGTAGGGGACTTCAAAACTCACCAAAAGCATGTACAAAAATGCAACAAAAAAAAGAATTTGAATTGATCTTTTCCGTCTCAGCGAAAAGAACAATTCCAATTTTGGCCTCCTCATCTTTGATCAAATTTTTAGCTGAAGAAAAGGGAAAAGAAAAAGAACCACCTGCTTCAAGTTCAAAAGACTGTGATCATTACTACAAAAAATTACTGCAAAACTTTCCAACTTTCATAAAACGGCAAAACAAACCAACTCAGAAACGAACGAAAAACCCAAGTAAACAGAGAGATGTACCCAGATAGAGGTAGGTTAGCAACGCAACAATGCAACCGCGTTTAGAGAGGGAAAGAGGTACATATAACTATAAATATATACAGAAATATAAAGTGACAAATAGAGAAAGGCTTTCTGTATGTCGCTTTTTTGGTAAAGAAATTATTCGTTTTCAATTCAAATCCAAACAACAAAACAGCATGATCGAACACTCA